CCGCTCGAGTACGCCTGCGAGTGGCTCTCGCAGACGGGCATCTACAACGAGGAGAACCCGAAGCTAACACTCCTCAACATGTCCCCCGCAGGCCGGTTCGCAGCCAAAGCGACGATGGTGCGTGTCTCTTTTCTGCCCCCCTCCGCATGGCCGCATGCTTCTCCGTCGCGATCTAGGCGGGCGCTGATGATATTCGTGTGTACCTACCTGCAGTATGTCGACATCTTTGCGAGCATCACGCTCATGCAGCCGCCGCGGTACCTGTCGCTGTACAAGCGCCTCTTCGGGGGCGGCGCGGGCTTCTGGGCGACGAACGCGAGCCCCGCAGGCGCAGGCGGGCAGCATTCCGAGCTGCGCATGGATGCGCTCTCTGGCTGCCCCGACGAGGCGCTGCTGGCGATCGCCGAGGTGTCCGCGCTCGCGAACTGGAAGAACCAGGAGCTGCAGAGCGGCAGCCTGAGCGTGCGCGAGCTCATCCGGCGCGGGGACGCCATCGAGAAGGAGCTGCGGGAGCGCGCGTCGGGCAAGCGCGTCGACGACGACGACTTCAGCGGCCACGGGTCGTCGTTCGGTGGCGGGCTGGACCTGACGCCGGCGGGGCTGGCGGCTCCCATGTCGTCGCCGCAGCCGGGCATGTCGGGGTCGAGGTCGGCTAGGTCGCCAGTAGACACGAACAAACACATTATCGGGGAGATGTTCCGGGAGGCTGCTGTGTTGTATCTGCACACCGTCCTCAGCGAGTCTGTACCAGGTATGGAGCACTCACCCCCGTCCGTTCGCGTCCCGTTCGTCCCTGACCAACATCCCCTTCTCTCTCTTTCCCACAGGCGTGCCCGAGATCACGAACAGCGTGGACCAGATGCTGAAGCTGCTGAACGAGCTGACGCCGTCGAGCTTCGACCGGACGCTCGTCTTCCCGCTGTTCCTCGCGGGGTGCATGACGGACAACCAGATGATCCGCGAGGTGATCAAGCACCGGTTCTTCATGCAGGACGCGACGATGGGCAACATCCTCCTCGCGCAGACGATCATGGAGGAGGTGTGGAACGCGCGCGTGCACGTCATGCGCACGACGCGCCCCGGCGAGCACCCCGTCTTCCCCGACTGGCGCGGCGGCCTCCGCATGCAGTGGGCGAGCCTCCTCCTCGTCTGAGCCCGGCGCCATCCCCCATTCTCCATCCCCACCTCCGTCGTCTCTACGTCCCCAGCGCCATTTCTCGCCGCCTGGACCCTCCCTCGCCCGCGCTATGGTCTTCACGACGCTGTACATGTCATTCATGAGGTTCCCGACGGAAGCAACGTACCTATATCGATATCCCGCCCCGCCCTAATCGCTCTCGCGACTCGTGTCTCTTCGTCCTCCCCGCCCCGTGCTCAGTTCCTGCCCTGTATATACCCCGACAGGTAGAGGGTCCCGGCTACCCGGGATCCCGTGGATGTCGCGATCTATGTAATGTCTGATTAGCTCTCTATCTCTCTGTCTTCATAGCATATATTCGGAATTTACGTGCCTTGTATCGTTCCGCGTCCAGGCCTTGTCTTCGTGTGGCCAGTGTGCAGTGTGCAGCGTCCGCGTCAGACTCGGGAAGAAAAGACCGCTTGAGAGGGGTCGAGTGCAGGGACGGCCGATTATGACGACATCGACGAGCAGAAGGTGAATAGAAGCCCGACGCGGCTGTGGTTATGAAGCGAGCAGGAGCGGCGGGTACGTATACGGCGAATGCCGGGGTGCATACATAGAGACCAAGAGCATGCAGCCAGAACGCACGGGGACGAACGCGCTTCACGATGGTGGTGGCGGCTGGAGGAGGCTGACCGTGGCCATGATTTTGAATATCGGAACGGAGGGTCAGCCTGGTCTCTAGCGAGTGGCGGCGGACGTGTATGCGAGGAGGGAGTGAGCTGGGGCGAGGAACTTCGCGGTGGTACTCACGCTATGATAGTGATGGCGTATATGTATGCGTGCGCCGAGCGGGCGTTGGGACCAGGAGGAGCGCGAAATGCATCGTAAAACAAGCCGCTGGGGTCTGTGGGCGGAGTGCGGAATGGGCGTCCAGTGCGGGCGCGGATCATTGATAAGCTACGCGAGGAGACGCGTAGGCTGGGTGATGCGCTCACTCGCTGCTGGGCGGCAGCGCAGCTGGGGCGTGGAGACCGGGGGAGGAGGAGAGGGCTCGCAGCGTGGGCGGCGTCGAGAGTGGCTGGCGTGCGCAGACGGACTGGGCACTGCGAGATGACGATGGCGGGGAAATGGCGGGTTGGTGGCTTGTGCGGTCTGTGGTGATCAGCATGGGGTTTACGGCGCAGTTTAACGAGAGTTCTCATCATACTTACTCCATCATAGCGGCTGGTGGGGGTGCATGAAGCGGTCTTCACGGCGGGAGGTGTCCAGAGGTGAGTGTATGCGCACTTGCTCCATTTCGCTAGTTTACGCGGTGCAGAATGCAGGAGAGCGAGTGAAGCTGGGCGAGAGAGCGCGGGGGAAGATGGGGGGGAGGACAGGAGGAGGCGAGTATAGAGGTCGCTATTTACCGGTGGGTCGGCATACGGGGTGGCCAATGGGGAGCGGGCGCCATACCGGCAATCGGTGATAGACTTGGGAGGTCAATGAGGACGACATTGCCTCCGCACCGTGTCCTCCTCCGTCGCCTCGCCACCCCGCGGTCGTTCCCTGCAAGCTGGGTACAAGAGAAGGGGGAGTGTGGGTGCAGCGGCGGAAACTCTCCGTGCCCTGCTCGGTGCTCGATACTTATGAGAACAAGGACCGCGCTCAGCCGGGCATGATCTGCTTAGCCTCGCCGCCCTGGTGCGTGCGCGCTGCCCGCCCATCTGCCTGATTCCGTACATCCACTTCTCGACTTCCTCGCCATCCTTCTGCAAGCTGAGCGTCGACGACTCGCTGCTGCGCCCATCGCAGCATCCCGCCTGTCGATGTGAAATTACTGCGATACATACCTCCGTGTGCTCGCCCTCGTACACTCGGCTGTGGCGGATTCGGGTGTCAGGTCCTCATGCACACGGGCCACGGTGTGCTCCTCGCCGCATGCCTTGTGCTTCTGCGCGCTGAGAGACAATGCATGTAGGGCTGTTCCATCGCGGAACTCTATCCAAGCTTCTGTCGCGCCCACCCACCGCTGAACGCGCTCTCGCATCCTATCTATCCAGGTCCTCGTTTTCAGTCTCCTGCCCTCAAGACTTCAAATCCCAAGTCGACCACCCCGGACCGGTATGCGCCTGGATACTTGGCATCACCGGGCTTCCCTCACCGCTCGAGAGTCGACACAGTGACAGATGCACACCCCCGACCATTCTCAATGCTCATCTGTCAGGCCTTGCGACGCGGTCACCGAGTGCGAGCGCCGCCCCAACACGAGCCATGATCGTGTCCGCTCATCACCTCGAGCGCGTGCCACAGTGTCACTGTCAGCGCCGTCGGACTGAAGACTGCGAGGCGTCCTCCCGAACGGGCTTCGCGAACGCAACATTGCTGCTGCGCCGTAGCCTGGTGGCTTCCCCGGCGCTGACGTGCCTCTCACGACGCGGGTTCGCCATCTGCTCGGGCGCGCTGGCTGGGCACCGTGACCTACCGGCCTCGTCCTCGACGTATTTCTGAGTCTCAGCTTTTCCAAGCCTTCGTCCTTGGCTTGCTGTCCGCTGCGTTCACTCCGTGAAGCTGGGCCCGGGACGGCAAGCTTACCCCTGCTTACCCCTTGTTCACTGGCAACGCATCGTCCATCCCATTCACAAGGTGTCGGTCCGGCACTTCAGGGTGGGCCCCGGCGCGAAAACCTGCCCGTCTCTTGCCCGTCATCATTGCATTTCTTGCCAGCTCCAGCTCCAATACAAACGGAGAAGCCCCCAGCTGCTAGCTGCAAGGTTTGCGCTCAGGGACTCGGAGCTCGGCCCATCTCCCCATCTCCGTGTCGAACCGCCGCCCTCAACGCCAACGCCAACGCCCATGCTCAGCGTGTCAGGACTCAGCGGGCCGTACCGCTGCAAACTGCAAAGGTCCACAGTGACACTCCCCGGGGCTGGAAGCTGCAGTGCGGTGTCCTTGGGCGCGGCCCAACACCATACCGTACCGTACCGTGTCCACCTGGGAGCGGAGGTTCTGTCGCAGCGTGGCCCGTGGGCTTCGGACGCCCTGTCTATCGACGGTCGTGCGCCGCGTTCTGACCGACAGATGCTTTCAGGCCGCGCCTTGGGTCCGGCGGTGTGCCTGCAGAGCCGAGCCATGACTTGGCCTGCACATTGACAGTGCAACCTACGTTCGCCCTGGACGAAGGACGGCGGAGGCGACAAGTGCGGTGGTAGACGAGCAGAATGCGAACGCCATTGACAGCACGCCCGCGTCGGTGCCGTCGTTCAGACGTTCACGGCCATCTCCCTCAGCACGACATCACGACAGCATGACACCAGTGGCGGGTTCCCGCGCCCGCAGCTGGTCCTCTTAGACTCATCATCATAGCGATACGTGAACGTACGTCGACCGGGCCATGTACTCGTACGTGGTGCCTTGCGTACCTTTCTTTGATCATGTCACGGTGTCTGTGTCGGTGGCCGCGGCCACCCTCGACCCTCAGAACGTGCCCACAACTCCCACAGGACAGCCAGTCAAGTTTCAATCGAGGACTGGAAGCCGGACGAACCACAATCCTAAGAGCCAGACATCGGATTCGAACCTCAATGTCCCACCGGCTTTCCCAGCGCCGGGACCCTGAACGCTTCCGCGCGGGTGGCAGGGATGACCGGGCATGCGTGCGGTGGTTATAGCGGTGTCCGGACTCGGTATGTGGTCTGTGCCCTCGATCTCTTGTCCTAGCACGCTGATATGATGAGGTTCTGCTAGTGATTGGTCTGGTCTTCGGTACCTCAACACACTTCCGGTCATATCGTTAACGTTGTTGTGTGTCTGGGCTGGAGCCTGGCGGCGCTCACGACGTATTCTACGGACCTTTGTTCAACACTGGTGGTATCGTCGCTTACTTGCCAACACCCAATCTCTGTTAGTATATCGGTTAGTACACGCGCCTGTCATGCGTGGATGTATTTCCTACCAGGTCCGCGCGAAAGGGGGGTTCGACTCCCCGACAGAGAGCTGTCACTGTGGTTTTGTGATCTTTTGCACAAAAAAGACCTGGACTTCAGAACCGAACCGTTCTTCCGTACATATGTAGTGCTCCTGGGAATTCAGGCGCAGTCATACAATGGCCAATCGGGCTTCCGGGCTGCTGTTCAACAACAACATACAGTACTGAACTGCGTACATACTCCCGGCAGCGGACAGCGAGTCTGGCTACTTCAAGAGAAGAGTATCGTGATGGGACACCTCCCAGAAGTAGTCCTCCCATCTTCAATAGGCCCCGCAAAGCGGTCGACTGGCAGTGGGAGGGAAGAAACCTAGAATGGAGCACGAGGCTTGAAGCTTGGATATTGAGCAGAGCAGAGACGCACATGGAATGGCACATGGATACATGGAGAGTATGTACTGAATGAATGGACATGGACAAGACATAGTACTGTACAGGTTGATGTTGGTGCTAGCTAGTTACAAGGTCCGCGGAGGAAGAAGGGGCAGACGAAGATGGTCCCATGAATACAAGGAAGAGAGTCAAGAACTGAGGAAAGGACAACATGCGAAAGGAGGCTGTCAGGTTTTGGCAGTCTAGGACGACGACGACGGACGTCGGTACAATCGCAATGCAAGGAAATGTGATCTGGCCAGCGGCGTGCTAGCCGGGCCACGATGCAGGTCAGACTGGGCCACTTGACGTTATACCTGGAAGCGGAGGTGCATTGCGTCCTTCAGGGTCTGCCAGCGTGACCGCTGGAGCTTCTCGGACTCCGGAAAGGCGAACTCCCATCTGTAGCGCGGGGACGTCAGCCCATCACTCACCCCACGGGACAAGAAGACGCAAGATGTAGAAGCGAAAGTCGACCGCTCCGGTCACGATGCGGGGTGCGGGGAAAGCGTGACGGTGAAGACAGATGGACTCACCGTATGACCAAGTCACCCTTCCCCACGACCTTGCCGTTCTTGCGAACAGGCATACCCGCACCGAAGATCCGTGTTCCGTCTGCAGCCTCGACGAGCGTCCGCGGGATGGGGATTGTGTACTCCTCGCCGTCGAGGCCCATCACGTACACTTGGTCGTCTTCAGGCTCGCCGTCCCTTTCGTGCTCGTACGGTCCGTGCTGGCGCCCTCGTCCGAAGCCGAACCGATACCGCCCTCCACCGCCGCTGGTTCCTTCGCTACCGAGGACGCTGTCGTCATCCTCATAGATGTCGTGCGGAGGGTACGGACGGCGGCTGTGCGCCTCGACCCAGGGGACGCGCACCGGAAGGACGATATCGTCTCCCGAGCGCGTGAAGCGCGGGTGCGAGATCTCTTCTACGACGAAGACGATGTCTTGGAATGAGCCGTCTGGGCGTTGGTTTCCTACTCCCGGAACACGGATGCGCGTGCCGTTCCGCCACCCAGGCGAGACGTGGACGTCAAGCTGCACAGTTTGCGTCTTCGGTGAAGGGTGCGAATCTGACGATTTCTCGGTGCGCAGCGTCCGAGTGACACGGTAGCGGTGCTTCGCCCCAAAGTACAGGTCTTCGAGCGTAAGGGGAAGGGGAAAGATCCAGTCTTTGTCCTGAGATGTGGTCGAGAGGGGTTTCGGAGACCGGAGCGGCTTGAGAGGAGAGCCGAGGTCGATGAACTCGTAGTCGTCTTCTCCGAGCGAGTGCTTCTTTACCTTCCCATGGTGACGGTGACGGTGCTTCTGCTCGTGAAGAGAGCTATAGAGCGGAAAGAAGGCTCATGTGAGCACGTTAGCGCAGCCATACGTGATCGGAAAACGCACCCAGCCTCAGATGAAGTATCGGAGTCATCATCGTGGTGGTGAAGATTAGATGGCTTGGAAAGCCGCGGCGATTTGGGAGCACCAGAAGACGTGTGAGATGTTTTGGGGTGGGAACGGTGCGTACTTGAAGACGGATGCGACGGCTCACGGTCACCAGACCGACGCATCCCTTTGGAACGTGTTTCGCGCGCGTCCTTAGGCTCCGCTGCGCGATGAGATGAGGACTTCGCTGCAGAAGATGAGAAGTCTGTCTGCTTCGCGGGTGGTGAATCTGTCGGCTTCGCAGAGGCAGAGGATGCGGGTTTCTCGGATATGGGATCTGTCGGCTTTGAGGTAGGTATCTCCGTGTGCTTCGCGGTGCTATCTGTTGCGCAAGATGGTTTAGAAGAGGACGTGCTTGGTCTACTACTTGACGACGATGTCGCGCTAGGCGTCGAACTAGGCCAGAATGAACGTAGGGTGGAGGAACCGTCGCCGTCCTTGCGGAGCCAATGATGCTTGTTCCGCTTTTTACATTCGTGTACGAGAGCCTTGTAGGCGTCATTGACCTGCGAACTCTATGCTCGAAACGTATGCTGTCTGTTCGCAAAGCGGGTCACGCACCTCGATGAACTTCTCCTTCGACTCCTCTGGATCAGCATTGTGGCGATCCGGATGCCACTTGAGAGCCTTAGAAGCGAAAGAGAGTGAGGAAGCCCATCGGCGTTCATGGCGGAAAGAGCTCACCAGTTTCTTATAGGCCACCCTAACAGCGTCCTCGTTGAGATCGTCGGGCCCGAGACCGAGCGTCTCGAGGTGCTTGTTCACGTCCGCCGTGGATGCAGGCATAGCGCGAGCTAGGTGTAGGTACAGACAACGTTAGCAGACAGAGGTGGCGGCACGGAACACGCTGGGGCAACTTGTGAGGAAAATTGGGCGGTCAGACTCGGTTAGGCGAGGGAGTCTCGACTTCCGCCCATCGGTTATATGTCTTGAAGTAATGTGCAACGAGGCGGAATAACCGGATCTACCCCACTGAACTGGAACAGTGACGCTTACGAGTGGCATTGAACAAAAGAAGAAGTGTGACCCTTCGGGGGGACACCTCGTGGCGAACATGCTTGATGAGAGGCGTTCCCGATTCAGAAACGGCTCAGGACGATGATCAGGAGCGGTGCTGGCACAAAGCAATCCTTTAATCGCCATGCATTGCAGACACTCCTGCATGCCCCTCACGCATGAGAGCTGCGCGCTGCTGGGCTAAGGTGTTCCTCCAGACAATAATTGGGCGTGCAGGCAAACGACCGCTGGAGCACCCTTTGGATGCTGTGACGTGCCTGCTGGCGGGCATGCGCCTCGCTAAGCGGTGCCGAGACTGTGAAGAGATGAGCATGAAGTCGAGGACGTGGCAGTGAATCAGACATCACCGACATCGGGTTGGTCGGTCAGGAGAGCCACACGTTTGGAAGATGTGCCAGGCTCCACTAAAAGAGTCAAGACACGCCCATTAGAGCGAAGACTGCCTGGTCCGTGACCCAAATATCGGAACCCGAGTCGAGAGGATGTGGATGTTCAGGCCCCGAGCATGATGCGAGTATGATACGAGCACAACGCAGATAGAGATGTAGACGATGCGCGCAGGAGGGGATTGTCGGTACTGAAGATGGTAGTCATGGTCAAGTTCATCTGGCAATTGCCGAAGCAGCTCGCTTGAGGTAGGCGCTGTTGTTGTGTTGTGAGGTTGAACATCCACCGCCTCGTTCTTTTCCCTACGACCTACTCACTAGACCCTCCTGCTCGGATGCCGTTTATTATGCTAGCAGGTTTGCTCTGCTATTTCGTGAAGATGAAGATGTACACTCCGCTCAAGACGCCGCGGACTTTGTCCGGACTGCAGACGTAAAACGATCTTTCGGTCAAGTCCTGCAACGGCGCGGTGATGTATGGCATGCTTCGCGCGGAAGGGTGTGCTTCAGGTAAGCATCGTCCGCTGAATCCTGATTGATCCTTATTGACTGCAAGGAGCCCGCTTCTCCTCCCAGGCTTAGGTGAGACACGTGAATAGGACGGCGGGACGCGACGACGACTTGACCCAGCCCACTCGCTTGATCGCTCTCATCTTTATGCTCGAAGGCTACTCGGAGGCTCTTTCCGTAGGGCTCTGGGTTTTTTGGATCGCTTCCAGGTAGCGAAACAATGCCGAAGTGGAGGCCTGTGTCCTGTGGAATCCTGTTCAACATGATGTCGCGGCACGGTACATACGCTGACAGTTGCTTGTCTCGCACACATCCTGCCGCACCCAGGAACGTTGTTTTCGCGCCGATGTCGATGGTCGGATCGGCCATCGTCGAGCCGTTCTTCATCCATATACCCAAGATGCTCTCTGAACGGTCTCATTGCATGCACGACTTCGAACTCCTTGCGCCAACCGATCACCCGGTGCTGGCCGTTGTGCACCTGTCGGCCTGCTGTCTCGGCGTGGTGAAGAGCATGGCGGCGTGCTACTGAGGCCGCTTGCAGTGTTCGTCCGTCCATGGTGTGGCATCCTCCTGTCCTCGGGCAGAGCTCCTCGAAAAGCCTCATTGCCTACATCTTGCGCTGAGCCGTCCCTGTCACCCTCTGCCTCTGTCTCAAGGGCTATATAGCAACCTTGACCGTATGGCCCGGTGGTAGGGCACTTGTCGCCCAGGGTCAAACGGTCGGACCGCCAGTTGTGTCCCCTGCGCTCTAATCAGTATAGTACTGGTTTCGCGGTAGCTCTTTCGAAATAGTACCTTCTTCTTGTTCTCTGCTGTGTCCCGCGGATGTACGGATGCTCGAGATCACTTCGTTATTCCACTTCGACAATTGCATGGCAATGTTCGCCGCGCTTGCAAACTCCACCAATGCCGACGTGACGGGTACGAGACCCTGCCGCAAAGTCCACAAAACGAAATATGGAGCGGCTATGAAAACAGTACATTCAGTCAACACAATACACGCAGTCCTACATCTGAGGATCATCGGAAGCTACAAAGGGGTCGTGACAAGTCGTAAACGCAACTGGAAGCGGAGCCGTTGCGAATAAACAGTGTAAGGAGAAGCACGGAAGGTCATGAGCGGTCGTAAGACGTAAGAACAGAGAAATACCAGGGAAGTACCATAAGCAAGTGTCCGGACGTCCAGCACGAGCCGACAAGGAAGGAAGGGCCGGAGGACATTACAGAGGTGGGTAGGTAGAGTAGGCGAGCACAAAGCATCGTCCATAGTGTGACCAACAGCAGATCA